ATTTAATTAAATTATATTAAATTATATTATATTATATTATATTAAATTATATTACACTATTATATTGAAGTACCACATTTCATTATATTGAATTATATTTTATTATATTATATTATATTATATTAAATTAAACTCTATTATATTATATTATATTAAATTATATTACATTATTATATTGAAGTATATAAATTTAATTATATTTTACTATATTAAAATATATTATATTAAATTATATTAAATTATATTGAAGTATATCACATTTAATTATATTATATTATATTATATTATATTATATTATATTATATTATATTATATTATATTATATTATATTATATTATATGATATTATATTATATTATATTCTGATGCTGATGTGACTGTTTTCCTGTTCAGAGGTGTGGCTCAGCCGTTTCCATGGCAGCGGGGGCGGACAACGTGGTCGACGTTCCGGTCAAGCAAAAAGAGGCGTGGCCAGAGAATGATCCCGCCCGCCACTCGTCCTCCCCCGACGAGAAACCAGCCGCCACTCCTCCCTCTAAACCAATCAGGACGAAGCAAAGGCCTCCATCCCCGGTAGCCCCGCCCCCTCTGGTCCCGCCCCCACAGCACGGTATCCAAGGCACGCTGAGACACCCCGACTTCCAGCACAACGGTGAGATTCACACACGTGTTTGAACTAAAATAAAATAGTAAATAAGTAAGTTAAAAAACATTTTTAGTTAAACACCTTTTACTCTGTATTTTGTTTTCACAGTTCAAATAAAAAGTACAAAATTTAGTCAGTTAAAGTTACTTTTTTTTTGAGTTAAAGAAACCTTCTGATCTCCATTAATCAATCAATGAATTGTCTGCTCTCTTTAATATCAGCTCAAAAAGGACTTTAAATTCATTAAATAATCACCGAATGATTCAAATATTTGCTAATAATTTTCACATTTATGATGAATTGATTAAACCTTTTGATAACAATATATTTTATGATCAGTTTTATCTTTATATTAATAATAATATATATTAATATCATAATATATTATATATATAATATATATATTGTGTCAAGGATTTAATGTGATAGTTGTGCTCGCAGACAGGTGCAGGTAGACAGACAGGTGCAGGTAGACAGACAGGTGCAGGGTCAGAAACCTACCGAGAACAAAGTGACTGCTGGCAGAACAACCAGGATGGAGCGACACAGAAACAGGAGCACGAAGGCAGGCGACAGGTAGAAGGAGACAGACGGGCTGTCAATCTGAGCTGGAGGGAAGACAGACAGACAGACAGACAGACAGACAGACAGACAGACAGACAGGAGGATGATTACAAAATAAAACAAGAAATAACCGAAGAAAACCTGAAGCTGCGACGAGAAGAGAGCTGTCTGTCTGTCTGTCTGTCTGTCTGTCTGCGTGGGCATAATGAGAAGCACCCAGGGACTCCCCCCCCCTCTCCTCTTTACTTCCTTCTCAGTTTCCTTTCATCCAGTTTTCTCATCAGATCCAGTTTCATGTTCAACCTGCAGCAGCAGATTTCCTCCAGCGTACGACGACAGTTTCACTGCGACAATAAAATGACTCGTCTGCACCGTTAATGTCTCCGTATCTGTCTGTGTAACATGTCCGGGCTTTATTAGACCTGGTCCATGTTGGCTGTGTGGCTCTTTGTCATTAAAACACCAAATACCTGCAGAACCGATCACATTCCCCCCAAAAAATACTAAACATACTGAGGAGGAGGCTCGTTAATGAGCATCGAAGACTAAACTGTTGGTTTTAAATATCCACCGTCTCCACCAGGTAACGTCTGTTTCTTTTCAAAATGCTAAAACCAGTCGCTGATCAAGTACATTCATTTGTGTCAAAGACTAACCTAAACTAAATTAAACTAAATTAAACTGATCAAACTAATGAGAGCAGTCAGAGTCTAAATGTCCTCAGTCACCATCGTCTTTTCTAAACGTCCAAACGTTTCTCCTAATCGACAGCGTACATTAAACGTACATTATATATATACATATGTGTATGTATATATAATGTATGTAAAGTATTTCATTATTAATAAAACATCTATTTAAAACATGTTCCTCTCTAAGATAAACCAAGTATATTAGACTTTTCTTTGTTTTAATATCAGCTATTAAGAAACCCGTATGAGTCGACCAGCACTCAGAATATTGGTGATCAATATAAGTGATCAGCCTGTGTGTCCTCAGGTGAGCTGGGTGTGAGGTTCAGGGAGCTGCAGTGTTCAGGTGGAGGCTGCGGCTCTGATGAAGGTCTGAACACTTTAAAGCTTTAAACTTTAAAACATTCATTTACTAATTACTGTGAAGTGTTCAATCACCTGTTGTCCCGTTGCCTAGACGACCGGCTCTCGGTGATGTCGTGGCGTTCGGCTGCTTCCTGCTCCATGGCGTCCGCCGTGCTGGAGCGCGCTCAGAAGAGACGAGAGAACTTCTGGGGGAAGAGATGACCCCCCGACCCCGCCCACGCCACTGCTGTTGCTATGGAAACCAGCGTGTTGTTTGTTTTTAGTGGATGAATCATTGCTGTACGACGATTAGTGACAATAATGTATTTTTATAGATTCATTTAAATAGTCGTATTTTTATAGGTGCTGATAATGAAATCGTTTGTTTTTACAGTTTTGTAATTAGATGCTTTTATAAATGTAGTAATTATGGAATGTCATTTAATTATGTGTATTTAATGTCGCTGAGATAAAAAAAAGGGACAAAAATAAACCGAACTGGAGGACAAACAAATCTCCGGTTTCACACAAACTTCCTGCAGTTACTGAGTTCACTGTTTGTGTTCAGTCTACAGTTTAATATAATATGAAACATCTATAAAACAAGTCACTGAGTCAGTTTATTAAATGATAGAAAACGAAGGGAGAAGTTTGGGAACCGCTGTTTGAAACACGATGCAAACACTTTGTTGATTGTTGACGTCTCTGCAGAAAACTTGTTTGTTTGATGGAAAGAAAAAGTTGAACCTTGAACTCTTTGTCGCGTTTAAAGTCGGCTGCAGTTTGTTTGGTCTCGAGGGAATGAGGTTGGACGAGTTTAGAGGAAATTGGCTGTGATGTACTTTCCTTTTGTTCTCTGGATATTTTCCACCTGCGGCTGAACCTCCGGCAGAAAGATCTTCTGGGTATTTTTTATGATTAATGGTGAATATCAGGAACCGGGTGCTCAAATCTGACTCTTTTAATCAGATTTATAAAGTGGTTTTAGTTCATTTTCTCATCCGATCGTTAGCCAGACGTGTTCACAGATATAAGTGATCAGAATTGGGACAGAAACCCAACTGAAGAGTGACAAATGGATGTAAACACACTTAATCTACTGTTTGCATATGAAAACGTCTCACTGATTCTCAATCAGCCATCAAACGTTCGAATCAGTTATTATCTTCATTCTCATTCTCAACACTCATATTTAAACAAACTTAACAAAAAGCTTCACAAAAATATATAAGTAAGAAAACAACCAAAAGCACAAAAATAAAACCATAAAACAGAAAACGTAAGAGATATTTGCGTTATTTAGAAGAGTTTGACTGCTACATTTATTTATTTATGCTTATTTATTCTAATATAAATAGTTTAATTAATTATACTTATTATTATCATCATCACAGAAGTGTGTAAAATTTATAAATGAGATAATCATGTGTCTAATACCTTTTAAGATGCAGAATAACTGCCCCAACCATTTAAGCTGTTCTATAATAATAATAATAATAATATTAATAGGAATTATTAGGATTAAAACCAAACTGGTGGCTGCAAATAATTATTTGAGTGTATTTAACTCTAATAAACAAAACAGGATATATCTTTAACTAAAAGCTCCAGTGTAACATTGAGGAGGAAATGTAAGTTTTCAAATCAGCTGAAAATATATTAATTGTTTTCATTACCTTCAGAATGATCTGTAGACGCCATGTTGAATGTTTCTACAGCCCTGTTAGCTGCCACTGTAACGCTGGTCACTCTCAGTGTTAACTTTAAACTTCAGCTTCAACAGAGATCACCTCACTACCTCACATCATAATATCACTCTGCCAGCATTACCATCAGTAACATTACAGACAAGGTGCACCGTGTCAGTGGTTCAGGATTTTAATGCGTGTAAGAAAACTTAAAAACTTTACACCTGTGTCTCAGCATTTGTGAAAAAAGAAGCCTATTAAGTCTGAAACATTTTAAAAATACACAACACAGACTGAATTGTATTAAAAGTTCCCTAAAATCATCAGGAAAACTCACCTCAGATGCAATATTTACAGGATAGAATCTGTTAAAAACTCACTCAGGTATTGTGTTACATATTGTGCAACATTTGGGTTTATTATAGTTTATCAGCTGTTCCCTACAGTTATTGTTATACAGTGAATATAATATGAAATATCCATTAAATATATAGTCAGTTTACTCAATGATAGAAAAGTTTGGGAAGCAGTACCACATCCTGTAGTTCTTCCTTTAAATTACAGAACAGAATACAAATATATTAATATAATTACCTTTAATTAACTAAATAAAAATAATAAATAACAAAACAAAATAAATCTTACACGCTGGTCCTTTAAGTAAAAGTATTAATACCTGAGTGTAGAAATACTCTGTTACAAGTGAAGTGTTTGATTACTGAGCCTTTACTGTATGAACTCATATATATGTGTGTGTGTGTATGTAGGAAATACTGTATATAAAATTTAAAGTACCAAAAGTAAAATAATGCAGAATCTAAGAATAAAATAAACTATATTATTGGATTATTATATTAGTGAAATGTGTAGAATTATTACTTTATAAACAGCTGGAGAGGTTGTGAATTCCCCTTCAGTATCAATAAAGTCTTAGTGGTATAATAACACATCATAAATACATTAATTTATTATAAATTTTGTATTATTAGTGGAGAAAATATGGTAATAGGTAAATAGTTACCTAAAAGAAAATGGAAAAACTCTCAAATGATCTCATGTTGTGAAATTCCTCTGAGTCTCATTTCAATCAGTTTTATTAAGTCAGGAATTAACAACAAAACTATTTCCCCCTCCGGACTTCTTTCTATAAATATAATAATGTAAAAAACAAACAAACAGCAGCTGATGTCAGAGCTTGCAGTGAAAGAAGAACAAACACAAGGACTTCCTCCGGGCGGAGAGGACAGACTACCTGGCAACGACTCACTCTATACGCACTACTTGAACACCATACAAACACACAGACGACGTCACCCAGGTATGAACGGGTCAACCAGTGAATTTCCCCTCATTACGATGTACAGGCCAGAACAAACAGCGACTCACTTCATCATAATATGAAAAAACAGCACAGAGTGAATGACAAATAATACATTTAATATGTTTAAATTATTAAATACTCTTAAATAATGCTATAAATGTGTTTTATGTCTTGAATATCAATTAAAAATGGTATTTCTTGCTCATTTGTAGCCTTTAGTAACAGTTTTTGTCACCTTTACAGCTTATCTTTAGCTCATGTTTAGCATAATATATGAAAATCCTGCTCTAAAGTTTGAAAGCACACATGTAAAGCAAAGAGTGAATAACAAATAATACATTTAACTTATGTAAATCAATAAATGCTGTTAAATAATGCTATATATTTATGATTTGTCTCAAATACGAATTTTTTTGTTTTTTGTTTTTTTTGTCATATTTTTTGTTCTACTTGGCTTTAAAAAAAGTTTTTTAACATCGTCCTGCAGGTTTTTATCATTATTAGTCACACACAAAA